GCGTGTGAGAGCTGCAAAAGGTATGTATACCACTCAAATAATATAGGAGAGATTATTCTTGTGATGAACGATCACGGACCTTCATTAATATATTTCAAATAGAAAGAAAATTCAGCAGGAAGTGAAGATGGTACGGAGTGCAGATGAGCACATTTTATCCATTTTTTTACACTTGTCTATTTGTGTTTCTATTTTCTACTTTGTTTATTTGTTTTTTTAATATTTGAATGTGTTTGTTTATGCTCTTTTGTACTTTTTTATAACGCGCCACCGAGCGTACGCCTCATTGCAGTAATGAATTATTATTGTAAATTATTATTGTGGGTAGCAAGTGGCGGTAGCGTTGCGGTGTCAGCGATGTGCGGTCAGCGCCAAAATCGATGGCGGCGCCATGCGGTAACGGAAGGAAGGGGGGAGGGGGAAAAAGGGGAAAAAGGAGGAGGAGGGAGGAGAGGGAGGAGAGGGAGGGGAGGGAGGAGAGGGAGGAAGAGGGAGAGAGGGAGGAGAGGAGGGAGAGGGAAGGAGAGGGAGAGAGGGAGGAGAGGGGAAGGAGAGGGAGGGAGGAGGGAGGGGAAGGGAGGGAGGGAGGGAGGGAGGGAGGGGAGGGAGGGGAGGAGGGGAGAGGGGACAGGGGAGGGAGGGGAGGAGGGAGGGAGGGGAGGGGGGGAGGGGGGGAGGGGGGGAGGGAGGGAGGGAGGGAGGGCGGGGGAGGAGGGGAGGGGGAGGAGGGGAGGGAGGGGGGAGGGAAGGGGAGGGAGGGGAGGGAGGGGAGGGAGGGAGGAGGGGAGGGGGGAGGGGAGGGGGAGGGAGGGGGGAGGAGGGGAGGGGAGGGGAGGGAGGGGAGGGAGGGGAGTAGAGTACGTGGGTGGAGTGTTCTCGGGGTGGCGGCAGCGGAGGCAAAGCAAACTGTAGATCTAGGGGGTGTGGCGGAGCCTACATCGGTGGCGTTGGACGGCGACTTGTTGCACAAGCAAAATCCTCGACGAAGAGCAGGGAATTAATGTGGCATATTCGATCATGAATGTGCATGTTTAGATTAGGTTTCTGCATCTCGATTGCAAGCCTCGGACCTGCCGGGACGTAATTTAGGTACTTATTGTCTTTCGATAGAGTTACATTCGCATTATACTTACATCCATACAGACAGGTTTGTTGCTAATACATTTAAAGCGAATGAATTTATTTTTGGCATCACATTTCATGTCGAACATGATCGTGGAGTTGGTAATTACGAATAATACCTTGTTTGGCAACTTAAAACGTATCTGGCGTCGTAGTATACCTTCAATTTGGTACATTCGGGGCCGGAGTTTTTGTAGTAATCTTCTAAAGTGGATATGAAAGTAAATCGTATTCGATTTTCAGTTTTACTTCGAGGGAAAACGACATAAATTGCATTGGTTGATATTATTTTATCTTGATTAATTACTGTACGGCTGAATTAATCGATATTAAATTGGATGCAATATAATCAAATATTTATAATTCTAACGAACTAATGAAACCTACACGTTCGAAAATGAAATTCAGATTATTTTCAATGAATACTGGGACGTCATTGTATGCAAACCGCGAAACTCACATTTCATATTTTCAATCTCCATGGCTGCAATATTTAAATTAATACTTGTGTTCTATTATAATTAAACGTGATTCAATCATTTGCGATCCAAATTAAGATAATGACTAAAGATATTTACGACACTAGAAGTGGAACATTTTGAGTCATATACAAAGTCCAGTCGCATTAATGAGATCACCGCCTATATTCGACATGAACGTGCAATAATCCCTCACGGACGTCAGCTGGCAGCACTAACAGTGAAGGGTATGCGAGTACGAAGCGCGTCGTGTGGAGGCGGAAAACAGTACAAAAACAGTGCAGTAGTAGTTGTAATGCAGCTTCACATCTCTGTATGTACCATCCAGAACCGAATTGACTCTCTAAATCTCTAAGAGCACGTCTCGTAGTGCTCAGCTCTGCAAAAGTGGATTTGTAAGGCTTTTGACAGGTGGTCACATTTATGAGACGAGACGTGGTTTTTGGAACATATTAATTATGTTTCAAAGGCACAACATCTTTTATTGGTCAGACTTCAGCTTTTTTTTAGAAATTATAGTAATATACAATTTTTCAGCATCCAAAATTCCATTTTAAGAGCTATAATTGTGATTTTAATTTAAAATAGAACTTCTTTTAGCTGGATGCGAAAGTTTAAAAGCACTAGAATGCGTCTCCACTCTATCAGTACGATCACCCGACTTTTGTGTTGGGGAAATTATCCATCTGTCATCTACAGGGTTCATCTAAACCACAAACAAACCAATTAAAAAAGACGAAATCCGTTGTTTTGAATAAACTGGCGATGCCAAAAAAAAAATAATTTTGTACAAATGGTACAAAATGAGCTGGTTAATTTTCTGCATTTACCAGTCTTGAGTCTCCCTCTCAAAGTTTTGTACTGGCACCGCGGTATCACGGTGTTTGTATGGCGCTGCGAGACGTGTGAGACGCTGGAGCGCCGGTGCGCGTCAGTGCCGTCATTTGTTTAGTGTCGCCGCCGCCGCCCGTCCTCCACCCCGACTTTCGCACAGCGCCTGTCCGCACGCTGCCAGAAATATTAAAGCCATACGTCGTCTTTTTACTGGACCTTACTTCTCCGTTCTTCTTTCTCAAGCGGAGGAAATTCCGTCATTTCTAGCTCCGCTTAAAAAACCGGAGATGTAATTAAAGGAGAAATAAAACGAAACAAACAAAAAAGTTTTCTTCACATTTCATCCAATCCAATATAAGAGTAAATCTATCCTTTTATCATTTAAATATAACATTTCGAACAAAATGGACATGTTGATACGAATTTAATTATTTTAAGGCAAATACATCACCGCAAATCAGTCACTTGAGCATTGTCTCACATTGTGTCTGTCGACCATATTTTATGGTTCTTAGGATGGCCATTACGGGGTGACTCCTTAGTTATGTACATAGAATAAAAATACTCATAATTATAGCTCAACGAACGTACAAACATTGTCAAATTAAAGTTAATTAAATAAAATTTCCTTACTGCTGTAAACATACCGACCAACTATTAAATTATTTTACACGTTTAAAATTGCCATATCGCTGGTACTGTGTTGCGAAATGACGGCTAGTCAAACAAAGCGCGGGAAATTCGATTTTGCGATTTTGAAGACATGTGAATAACGATTACAAATCTTCGCAGTATAACCGTCTGTCTTAAACGAGTTGAGTGGCCAGCCACAAGAGCAAGAAGGAAAACGTAATTTTTAACAGAAAGGTTCAGTTCAACTAACTAAGTGTTCGATTAAGACAGTGATTTATAAGATACGTTCTTGCCAGGGTTAGAAATGGCCATACCTTGTGTCGAAAATGACAAATACTCTACTCTCTTCAGTTGTCTTTCATACAGACTTAATAAAATACACAGCCTTGCCTTCGTAACGCCCCTTCAGTGCGTTTTAGCAAGTACTTGACAACATGCAGTCTGCGCGCAAAGGGGAAACAACACTGCAGCAACCTACGGCTGCAATATTGGATAGAGTTTGATCTGGTTCATACAGAGCGCATATGATTTTTCTATCCTATTTCTCGAGAAATAAATTTAAAAAAAATTAATTATGAGGGATTAGAATCCACACCTATTTGGACAGCTTTCCTTTGCAGCCGTCAACTCAGATGACAATTATGTAAAGAGAAAACCAATGACTCAATTTCCACGGGAGCAATCGAATTTCGAATAGAATGGAGGCAGCAGTCACCAAGAGCGCTGTCAGTTGTCACCCTGATGCACAAGCCTCTTCCCATTTACGTTTAAGCATTGCGCAAGTCAGGACTTCTCGGAGGCGACACCTTCCGACGCTCCGGCCGCGGGTGGAACCTGAGTCAGAACCCGGGTCGGTGAGGGGTGGGGGGAGAGGCTTCGAAACGAAGGGCGCCCTCGAGGAGCTCTTGATTAACTCTGGGAGACCCGGGGACGGAGCTTATGAATACGCCACACTCCACCCGTGAAGTCCCGCCCTCTTTTCCTTCCCTCTCCCTAGCCCGCACTAGTTCCCTGCCGCACCCTGCCACGCTCCCAATCTTCCCTCCACCTCACTCCCGAACTATCTACGCCCCTCTCCCCCTCTCACTCAGCCGCTTCACTCCGTCTTCACCCACAACGCGCACCCAGCTCCATCCACAATGACCGCCGCTACACCCTCACCCCGCCCTCCATCCCCTCTCCACCTCACTCCCTCTCCATCTCCATTCCTCTCCTCTTCGACTCCCAGTTCGCTTCACCCCGTCGCAATCTGCCGCCCGGACCCAGCCCGATTCTTTCTGACCGCCATACTCTCCATCCTGCGTCCTCCATCCTCCCTCCACCGCACTCCCCGTCCATCTCCATCCCTCTCCCCTTCGTCGCTCAGCCGTTTAACTACGCATTCACCCACAGCCCGCACCCAACTCCATCCACCCTGACCGGCGCTACACCCTCATCCCTCCCTCCATCCCCCTCCCCGTCCATCTCCATCCCTCTCCCCTTCGACGTCCAGTCCGCTTCATCCCGTCGCCATCCGCAGCCCGCACCCAGCCCGGTTCTTTCTGACCGCCACACTCTCCATCCTGCGTCCTCCATCCTCCCTCCACCTCACTCCCCGTCCATCTCCATCCCTCTCCTCTTCGACGCCCAGTCCGCTTCACCCCGTCGCTACGCACAGCGCGCACCCATCACCATCCACCCTGACAGCCGCTATGCTCCCATTCCGCCTCCATGTCCTCTCCCACCTCACTTCTCGTTGATCTCCACTCCTCTGCCCTTCACCGCCCAGGCCGTATCACTCCGTCCCCCACCCCACCGCTGTGTCCGGCCCCTCAACTACTTCGTGTCGCCCCCGGCGCCCACCCAGACCCCTGGCGATGTGTTATCATTACGCCCCTACTTTACGTGCGCGCGCTCTATATTGGACGGGCGAGCGAGCGGCCTCCCCCGCCGTTACGGCCCTTTCGGGCCCAATTTGCCTCTGCGGAAGCGGTGCGGCCGAAGCGACAACAGGGTCGCAGGGGTGGACAGGGAGGCTGGGACTGCTGCGGTTGCTTCGGCGATGGGGTCACAACGTCTCCATTAAGAGAAAAAAAAACTCAACTAAGGGAAGATAGGTCCTAAAATACCTGCAGTTGTTCAGGTGTTAGAGGTAACGAAGAAAGGGATGGAGGGAAATAGATAAAACAAAAAGATACTAGTTTTGGAGATGGCACGGTGATTTTTATTTAACCATTAAATATCTAAATTAAAAAATCTGCGCAAGGAAATGTTCCATGCGTTGGTAGTCTTGGTAGAGATGTGGTAAACCAAACAGAACGAAACGGGAAAAGCAGGATTTGGTATTCGGTCGGTTTACTTTAACGCTTTAAACAACTCGATAATCGCTTTTGACGTTCTTTGAGATATTGCATTTCTTGAGGGTCAGATTAGACCTTCAAGAAATGAAATACCTCAAAGAACGTCATGATAGAATAAAAATAGTGTTAAACAAATTAAAACAAATTTTACCAAAGAAGTTCTAGAAATGTATTTACCACAGGTAGTAATTTACCATACCATAGAGTAATGACAATGCTCTAAAAATTTTGTTTTTAACAAACACGAAAATACAACCTACATATTTTTAAAAAGTCACCAGAAAAATATTAATAAAAAATAAATAAATAAAATAGAAATAATCTAACTCAAAACATAGATACTAAATGAAAGCTGACCGAGCTAGGCCCTTGAAACTTACTAACTATATTCCAATTATTGTAGCCAGAATCGCTTAAAAACTCAGACGCTCCAAATATTCCCAGACGTTCAATACCTACAAGGTTCTATGCAATTCTCGCTATTGATTTTCACTAAGTTGTCTTGACACGGCGTCACCTGCAAATCACACATGAACACTATGTCCAAAACTAGATAGTTTCAATGTTTGCCGCCTGCTTTATTTATATCACACATTTTACTGCTTGTTTTCTGAAACATTAACAATTTAAATATTCATATGATACTTACTTGTATATTATTATGAAATAGAATTATGGTTTTTACTTTCTAAAAATGTGAGGTAAATAATGTAGTAATTTAGGACAGTCGTCAATTATTAAGTAAAATCAAGTTATTTAATAACAATAAATAATTGTACTTTGTTTACTTCATTTTTCATTTGTTTTATATTCTGCGCATAATTAAGTTTATTCTGATTATAATGATCTGCTGAAACCCTGAAAACATTTTTCTTTTTCATTTTACAGCTCCCAAAGGTATGATGTGCAATAGTGTTGATCATAGACTGAAACGTTTTGCCGTAATCCAATTTTTCGGTATCATGGACTGACAAAACGTGGATTCTGACTGAACATGTTAGAGAAAGTAGTTTACTACATAATATAAGAATATGATTTATCCACTATTTCCTTCTCAAGAATCAGAAAAAAAGAGTATTTTTGTTGAAAAATAACCGATTTCCGCCGCATGAATATAATAATTTCCTTTCCTACGTAAAACGAGAAGGACGAGAAAGTAAAAATATGAAAACGATCACGTAAAAATGTTAAAGGAAAAAATAAAAATTCACTTGCAAAAACGAAGAAAGAAAGCTAATAAATGAGAACAAATACAAAATCGGTAAATGTTTTGCAAGTATTTTGGAGATTTATTGCAGCAATATTTTATCCCTGTAAAATTAAGAATGTTAACACCTTTGTGTGTGTATAAACACCCTTCAAAGTTCGTATGAGGGAACTCAAAATTATTTAACATCATACTTTCTACGTGCCTCACATTTTTATCAAAATATTTCATTAAACACTTAGAACGTTTTTATTCTGTTTTATTAGTTATGGCCACACATCAAAAATACATATTGCCGCTCCTGCGCAAACCTTCTGCAGTTCTAGTAAACGTAAACTCGGATATATTTGTCATGTTTACACAATTATTCAAACAGTTCGCAATATCCTTCACCATTTAATAAATAGTCAAGTAAAACAGTTTTATTCTATTAAAACAGTTTTCAAAGTAAATATGAAAATACGGTTATCAGAATAGCTACAGGAAAAGAGAAAATTCACGGAAGGAATGGAGGAAAGAATCAACATTGGAGTAAGGAATAATAGTTTCCCCCTTTGTAGACTGTACGAGTCAATGAAAAGCGATTCAATTTCTAGCTCGTTAAAACTGTTCAGACGATTATGATGTGTGTTGGAGCGAGATTAGCTCTTAAAATTACGTCCAGAACACTTTTCTTGAAATTAACCGAAACTTAAGTGATCCATCTTAACTAAAACGAGCATAAAATGAAAGGCGTGATATACAAAGAATTTTTAGAATCTCAATAATTCGTATAATATACACGTGACTTCGTGGAACAATTCTTCAAAATACATAAAAAAGAGAGTGATGTAGTGTGAACTTAAATATTGAAATTCATTAGCTGACTCACTTTATTAGCTGCCTTCATCAATTATAAAACTACGTTTTTGCTCACAAAAAATAACAAATTGACATTTTGCAGAACGGTTGCTTTCTGACTGAGCCGTTTCTATTCCACAGGCAATATATATCAAGTAAACTACTGAATTACTTCATGAAATTCTTAGTAATGAAAATCCACTATTTTCTGAACATACTTCAGTTAAATAAAACAAAATTACGATTTTTGAATATCCCTGTTCCTGCGCATCACGTATCTTGTGCATTGCAAATTCTATAGTTTTATTTTGAACTATTGTATTTTAGCGAACTTTATGAACTTCCACATTTTTCATAAACCCTTTCTTCAAACAAGGTAAAAGTTCGCTTCTCGGGAACCGAAAAATTTCCTACGAGTAAAACGAACTTCCTCAAATAACCCACGTCCCTGGCAGCAAGTTAGATCGTTTCTCAGCAGCGCTGGGTCAACTCCTACCCCTCGGCCGCCGACTTCCAGTGAAAGAACACACATCTCCAGGGCCTTCACTTGGCGAAAGCGGGGCCTACTGCGTGACGACAGCAGGTTGGGTGGAGAAGACAAATTTGGGGAAACATTTCGGCACTTTAGAGCAAATTTAAAAAGGGTAAGTCTGTACATTGTTGATTGAAGTGATAAGGGCAAAATTTTAATGAAATAATAATTTACTCGGACCATTTCAATGACTTCAGTTTTACATTTTCTGATGTTTTAAAAATTTGTCGACAACAGTCAAATGTAAAATTTAAACCATTTATTCTCAACAACAGAAAAGTTTACACAAACTAACGAGGGAATTTCCAAAATATGTTTTGCATTATATTATTACATCCCCTTCTATCACAGGATTTTCGAGCTCGTTTTTTTGGTAAAAGTGGCGGTATTGATGTTTACGTGGTTTCAACACCTCGTCCTGAATACGAACTTTCCCAGCAAGTACAAAGTTGGGGAGCACGGAAGCTCATGTGCCCAGCTACCTGCGACCGTTTGGAGCACCGTATAAATAGCAACATTTGTTTTCACAAATTCTGCACATTTCATTTTATTCTTTTCAGAACACTTTTTAAAGTATTATTATAATTAGAACTCTTACAATGGCTTTGACTCTTCACAGATAGCAAGTCATACGTTTTAGCGAAAATCGAGAAATATGATCCAACTCTTAAAAACATTATGAGTTACCATACAATCTGAGTTTTCGTAAACTGCTAAAAATTGCGAAATTTTCTTGAACAATCAAAGTCTGGGGTGACTTGCACCAAAGTACACAAATAAGGAAGACTGCAGAAATGTTGGAAGGACGGAGTGCAGAAAGTAATGAAGAAGGTAGGACGCAAAGAAACAAAAATACGATTACGAAAGACTGCAGCTTGCGACAACAAAATTATTGTAGATATTACCATTTTCAAGGAAGACATTTTGTATGTAGAAGAATGAGAAACGAGGATGAGGGAAAGCAAGGGGAAGGAAAAGGAGATGAAAAGAAATAAGAACATTAATTCTCTTTTTAAATTAATTTTGTTTTCATAAGCAGGCAGAAAAACTATGTTTCTTTGTAATCACCTTGGCAGCATTAATTATGAATTACCGAAGACAATCATTATAAAGATATAAATTTGCTTAGATCATCCATTTTCGATTGGTCTATATGATATAAAGTTTTGCATATAATTTGATGGAATTTTGTATGTGGAATAGTACATATTATCTTCTTCTAGGTAAGACTCATTCACCGGTTGTATATATCGAACTTTTTGGTTTAAACGCTATGGGAGATATTAACAGAATTTTCTTTGAGCATAAATTCTCCAGATCTTTCGGGAGTGAAAATAAAGCCTGAGGCTCCATATGGCGAATGGATGATAAGTAAAGTAACCCTTCCACGACGCTATTTTTAAATTCGTTGTCGACAAATTACTTAGTTGTGTTTAGCACGAATTTCATCACCTGAGTGCCATAATAATTCACCGTTTGGTAGTACTATAGCATTAAGCCACCCTTTTGTTGCACTCAACACCAACACTGCAATATACATGTACTTGTAACAAAATCAACACATCTGTGAAGGAGCTCGTGACAAAACTAGTACAGGCACACCTCGAGCTGTTACGCCTCAGGTTTTCACTATAGAGAAAATTTAAAAAAAGATAAGGCAATACACTGTTGAAAGATGTGATAATAGCCAACAATACATTTGCAACGAAATTAACACGGCTGTGAAGGAGCTCTTTAAGATAAATTTGTTTGAACTGCAAATGGGTATAACCCAGTGGCAGCTAATTACATAATTATGATAATACAGCTAACATGTAAATTACGTAATAATAAACAATAAATAATAATAATAATAATATTAATGGTACAATAGTAATAATAATAATAATAATAATAATAATGGTACAATAATAATCATAGAAACAATAAAACGGCTGATAAAACAACGATGATAATAATAATAACAATAACAATAATAAAAATAACATTAATAATAAAAATAGTAATGATATAAAATCTGTCTAATTGATAAAATCATATATTAGCTTAAAAAAGAATCATCTATAATCTAACTCCGCATCAGGTATCAAACACACGCCCTCCTCGAGCAGACGCGACGCAGGATGACGAAAACAGCT